CGGCCAGAGAAATAAACACACTCTACCGCACTATCGTTATTATACTCTCATTACACTTGTGACTGTCAATTGAGGCCAGTTCAGGAATCCCATGTTTAAACCCTCCTCTTTGCAGATGTCAAAAGGTTATCAGACACTTACTCTTCCGCACGTCAGACCTGAAACGCACATTTTATTGCGTCCTTTCAATAAAGTTTAGTTAAAAAATGCGTAGGGTCAGCGCTGAAACAAAAAAGTTTTTTCACTCTGTCCATCTACGGCACTGTCCTCAGAAAATGGCTGATATCTGACCTTCCCACACTGCCCTTTGACCTGTGACTTTCTTCCCCCCAAATTTTTTCCCACACGTTGCGTGATGGCGTTTCCCTGCCCATCACACTATATCACGAATATTAAGAAGCAGAAGGTCGATAGCCATTAAGATTTTGTGCCGCAGATTCGCGTATTCCTCTTATACCTAATTTAAAGGGAATATTTCCCCTCGCGCTCCGTTTACACATCTTGACCTTTGACCCTTGACCCCAAAATTTTGCTCCATTCCTGGAGTCCTTTTTCACATCCCCCCGACCGCCCGAATATCGACCGCTAGTCAAGCCGGTTTTTAAGCATTTGTGCCCAAACTGTTGACGGACGGACGGAACTGACGGACGCTACGGCACGATCATGCCGATTCTAACAAGCTGCCATCTGACTACGTCAGATGAGCCTAAATATAGTATGTAATCTAGTAAGTATACTTATGTCATTCAAACAATAGTCACAATTAATATCATTATATAGTATTTATAATTAATATTAACAACTCTAATATTTATACTCATTACTTTACATTTATCTTTCCCTAATACTATTATCGAGTTGCAGGAAGAGCACGATTAACAGTACAGCCAATTCCGACTGGAAAAGTCCTAGGATGATAGATGGGCGCTGCGTCTGATCTACAGAAGATGAGGCCCATATTTGCTACGCGATCCTGCCACCAGCGACAACCACACCGCGTCATTCTGGTGTCAAATCGCCTACATCGCAACGACAGACAGGCCTAGAAAAAAAATAGTCAACAGCTCTGACATTAAACATGGATGCAGAGCGTGATAATGACATTGACCTGACCAAAACACAGGCGACCGCTGGTTAACGATATTTTGCTACCTGTGCGGCGATACAGGTGACGTCCCTACCACGACGTACGTACCTGGCGCGTGGGAAGCAGTGACAGTTAACGACATATGTACCTGCGCGTGAGACAGGTGACCGTAACGATGATACGTACCCTGCTGCGGCGAGACAGGTGAGTTAACGACGTACGTACCTGTGCCAGATTGGATGTGGGGGTTTTTTGCAGCAATCATAGGGAAGGACGATCAGTCCGTGCGTACGCCGCGCTTCAGTCCCGACCTTCAGAAACTCGTCTACCTAGAGAACGTGGCGAGGGGTCCAGACACCAGGGCCATGAAACTGATGATGGTACGCGAGCTCATTTATCCGTGTCTGTCATTTTGGCAAATACGTGCAGGAACGAGGTAAACTTGCATTGTTGTCATCATCAGCAGCAAACTAATCATCATCGGCCATCTTAAAAACTTGTGCGAATGACTATAAACTTGCGTTGTTGTCTTCGTCAGCAAAATTATTGTCGATGGTCATCTTAGAAACCTGCGAGAATGAATAAACTTGTGTTGCCAGCAGTAATAATCATCGTCAGCAGCAGCAGTGATCGCAGTGTTAGCATGAGTCGCAGTAGTGACGTTGTCTTTGAAGAAGTCTTCCTCATGAATATGCGTTCCTCTCTGTGTTTGCATCTTGCAGTTTAACTGGGTGACGAAGAAGTATTCTACGATCATCGACATCGTCATGAAACCTACAGGTTTGTGACTCCCACCACGCATTCCTGAGATTCTACATTCTATAACTATTATAAGTATTATCTAAGAAATATAAGTGTTATAAGTAATATAAGCATTATACAAGTATTATACACATTATAAGTGATATATGTTTTATATAAGTAATATTACTATTGTATACGTAACATAAGTAATATAAGTATCATATATGTAATAGCAGTATAATAAATGTTATAACATATGTAAACATTACGATGTGTAGCGTCGTGACGACCGGTCGCCTCTTGGCCGCGCGTCCCCGTGTCCCTGACTCCCTCCCCCGTTCTCGTTCTTCCAGCAGAGTCAGGGTTTCCGGGGATCTATCCAGTCTACGTGGGGCTCCCGAAGCTGTGCTGGGCGAGCGATAGCGAGCGAGTCGTCTTCCACAGCAGCTGGGGCAGCAGGAAGGTAGGCGCGGCTCCTCTCTCACGTGCTGGGGCTTCTCTCTCTGTGTGTGTCAGAGTCGGAGAGCAACCTCTAGCTAAGGAGAGTTTTGGGGGGGGCCTCTTGCCCGATGCTTGGAGAAACTTTATTTCATGGGGAGAATTTCTTTATGAATATAATGAATAGATAGAGTGTATTATATATATATAAGATAAATAAAAGTTGTGCTGTGTGTTTCAAACTTGTGTAGCCTGTGACCTTTTTATTGAGGACTGACCTTGACAATAGTCATTGACATTGAAAACAGTTATAAGAGATTCTGAAATTTGCCATGCTATCTCTGTCTGTGTTTGCAGGAACTTGTCTATGTTAGCGTGAAGAGCAAAGTGATAAAAAAGATATCCCAGAGTAAGTATCATCTTATTGGAATTTGATTAAAGAACAACGGGAAAATAGAGTAATTAAACAATTGTATATTAATTAGTAGTAATGCAGTAATTTATCTGGAAACTATGAACAGGAACATAAGTGTAAAATAACATGTGATGAGTGTATATAAGTGTAATTAGATGTAACAGATCATGAGGAAAGGAAAGAAAATGAAGAAGCTTTCGTGTAAGCACGCGTCCGTCAATGAATTCAGGATGCTCTTGTGTTGTTGTTTTATCCGCAGAAGAGTACGGGTCATCGGAGCTGCTGGCGATACAGAATGACTGGATGGTTGTCTCCTGTTCTTCCCCTAACAGACCTCCGATCCTGGTAGGTTCCTCTCTCGATCTAACAGACCTCCGATCCTGGTAGGTTCCTCTCTCGATCTATAAGGACGACAGTGAGTGACTGCTTGCTATTGTTTTCCTGACTGTTTTTCTCAGCTCTCTTCTGTATTGTGTGTCTCTCGTTCGCGCTCTCTCTCCTGATCTTTACATGTCTCTCCTGATCTTTACATGTCTCTCTCTCTCTCTCTCTTTCTCATCTTCTCTCATGCGTCTCTCTCATCTCTCTCTAATCTATCCTCTTCATCTCTCTCGTCTCTCTATCTCGTCGTCTCTTCTCTCTCTCTCTCTCTCTAACTGCTGCTCTCTCTCTCTCTCTCTCTCTTCTCTCTCTCTCTGTCTCTCTATCTATTCTCTCTCGTTCCTCTCTCCCTCTCTCTCTTTCTTCTCTTTCTCTTCCTTTCTCTCCTTCTCTCTCCTCTCTGCTTCTCCTCCCTCTTTCTCTCTCTCTGTCTCCCATTTTCTGGTCTATTTCTCTCTCTATCTCTCTCTCGTCCTCGATCTCCTCATTCTCGATCTGCTCTTGTTCTCTCGGCTCTTTCTCTCTCTCGGTTCCTCGTC